GACCGAAGAATTAATTAATACCCGCAAGAGACCTCCGGACGCTGATTTATTATTCACCGGGAGACGCCGTCTCCAACACGAAACAGTAAACATTTAAAAATTTTATCCTTTTTCGAAAAGCTGAACTTGATATATTCTGACTGACAACGATCTCTTGCAACGACTATCCATCTTTAACGTACTTCGATTTATTTAATTATTCATACTACTATGACTCTCGTGGGAGCTGACTACCGCTCGATTCTCAATGCCACATATACAACCATGACCGCCTCCACTACTACCGCTGTTGAAAAATTACAGCTTGCCAACCAACTACGCGGTCAATGCTATGAAGCGCTTAAGCAATCAGGCCGATTTGAAGAATTTGTGGAGCGCCTCAACTACTGTAATGCACAAAACTACCTCAACTTGTCGGCACTGGATACGGCCAACATTATCGCACTTGTTTCCAAGGCCGGTATCGTACGAGGACTACAGTTATGGCAGAACGGGGCTATGCCGTCGATCGGACCTGGACGCGGCCGAGGCCGACCTAGAGGCCGAGGTCGTGGATCCTTCAGAGGACGTGGCAGCAACTAGGATTTCGGCAAAGCCACCAGTACCCAACTCGTGCGCCGGAGCCATGAAGATTTCGAAAGGGGGCTTGGTCTCGCAAGGAGGCCTAAGTATATAGCACTACCTCACTTCACCGAGAAGGTGGAGCGCTACAATCTTCCGAACTACCACGGACGACTACCGACTAGACCTGACGAACTACAAACCATCGACACATGGTTAAAGCCGCTATTACAGCAGAACAAGATTACGCCACTACCGAACCGACCAAACTTTACACTACCGACACGTGTCGTGAAGGACCGAGTCACCCACGACTGCCGACCACTACTACCATACATAAATGATGCCGGACGCTTTCCGAACTTACAGAGCTGCTGGCCGATAATTACGTGGGGAGCTCAACAACCACTGTTAGCCAAGATTGACTTATCCAAGGCATTCCACACGATACCACTAACCAAAGACCAGATCGGTACCTACTCATTCGAACACCGTGGCAAGTATTACGCATACCAATGCATGCCAATGGGCGCAACTAACGCTCCTAAACACTTCCATGCGACGATGGGGACCATACTCAAGGACCTACCGTACGCTGAACACCTGCGATTCTATCAGGACGACATATTCATAGCTGCTGACAACTACCGAGAGTTGAACCAACGATACAACCGCACCAAACAACATCTAACGACCTATGGCTTCAAAGTCAACCCGCAGAAAAGCCAACTACGTTGTACGAACATACTCGGATACGAACTACTCAACCACACACTGACCATACCGACAAAGAAATGGCAGACCATACAACACCTGATAGATACCAACTTACACGCCAACATTACTCGGGCTGCGCAAATACTACAATACTACAAGCATGCACTAACTACAGCTCAACAAAGAATCGTCACTAAGCTACTGCAACAAAAAGTCAAAGACCATGACATACTTAAGATCTACTGCCAGAACTTCAGAACTAAACCTAAACTTACGTACCAACCGCAACCTAACAAACCACTTAGATTGTATATAGATACCAGCAACGTCGCTGTCGGACTGAACCTCTCACAAGGGAGTAAACAATCTGATGAGTAAATCC